GATGCAAAACCCCTGACCTCTGTCTGGACAGTGCTGATTGACCCTGTGCTAATCACATGCACTCTCCCAAGGAAAAAAAAACAAAAACATCTAGCCTGTAGCATGACCTGCAGAACTTAACTCTGATGGATCATGATGCATTGTTCAGGCCTTGAGAATTTTCTGATTCTTTCTACATGGTTGCCAACATATACGGTACATAGACTTTTTGTTTGATTGAATATTTAGCCCAAAATAACTTTGCTGTCTGTGTAGAATTTGATGTAATCTATCTGAATGTCTAGTTCATGCAGTATAAAAGCTGCAATTTCTATGGCTAGCAGAGAGTCCAACAAAGTTCAAGCCTGGGAATTGCGTGTTCAGACTTAGGTGCTAACTTAGCTTTGCAAACAGAAAACCCTACATGGGTTTGATTAAAAGAGTCTCTTACCTCAATGTAGGCAACCGCTGCTATGGACTCAGTGGATGCATCTGAGAAGATATGAATCTCCTTTCTACGACTTGAAGCAAGGGAAGCTGAAGTGTAGCAGTGTAGTATGTTAATTCCATCTAAGGCATGTAGATATTTTTTCCATAATTCCCATTTTGAATGTTTGTTGGTAGTGGAGTATCCCAATCTTTAATAGTCTCTGATAGCTGTCCTGTATGGTGATGGGAGCCACAAATCCCAGATTGTATAGACTGTTTACAACTGACAGAACACCACATTTGGTAAATGGCTTGTCTACAGAGCTGACTTAAAAGCCGAAGGTGTCTTTTAATAGGTTCCACCGTAAGCCCAGACTTCTCTTAACAGGAGGTATGTCCACTTCAGATTTAAGTCTTTCAGCCTTGCTATCATGCCACAGGATTTAAAGGTTTTCATCACAGCAGCATGGTTTGAAGCAATCTTATGGAGTCTGAGGTTGGTCTCAGAAAGTATATCTGGAGTCCTTTGGAGCAGGTCTATGACTTCTTAATCTGTGGGTAAAGATGTAAGTCTGTCGTCCATGCAGAAGTCTCGCTAAATGAGATGTTGAGCATCTGCACCATACTGCTTTTTGCCATCAAGAGCAGTCCTTCATAGACCATATGTTGCAACAGCAGGTGAGGGACTATTTCTGAAGACATGAACTTTCATGTGATATTCAGTCACTTAATTGTTTATGTTGTTGTCATCAGAGTGTCATCTTCTCTTACTATAAAGCAGTGGAACATTTGTTCAATGTCAGCAGTTATAGCAACTGATTCTCTTGTGAACCAAGTAAGCACTCCTATAAGTTTGTTGGTTAAGTTAGGACCAGTGAGAAAAAACATAATTCAGGGATACGCCTTGATGCTTGGCACTGGAGTTGTTGATTTGATTTGGTTTACACTGATGATACACTCCAAAGAAAGTCAGATACAGGGGCGGACTGACCATTCGAGCACTTGGGCACTGCCCGAGGGCCCGGGGTCAGTAGGGGCCCCATGAAATGCCCCTGGTTCCTTTTTTATAGGCTTTTTTGAGTGTGGGCAAGGACACAGGGGCCCCATGATCCCCTATTGCTTGGGGACCCCATGAGTTGTCAGTCCGCCCCTGGTCAGATACCAGCACTTGTCATGTTCTAGAAGAGCTGGAGCAGGCTCAGTGTGATCATTGTCAAAGATCCTTTTCATGGAAGCAATGAAATGGTCCTGCATTTCAGGCCTGTTCTTTAGTGTTTGCTGAAGTGATTTGAATCTGGATAAAGCTTGTTCACGATTGTTTGGAAGTCTGACTCTTGTAGCATGAAGAGTTAATGGTGTAACCCAGCTGTTAGATTTATCTTTGCAGAATTAATTGTCCATTATTGAGATGAACTGTCTATCTTCAACTGACAAGGCTTTTCTGTTGTCATCATATGTATTATGAAACACTGTGCTATCTAAGTTGTCATCATAAAAGATGGGAGTAACCACAGATACCTGAATGATGTCAACAGACTTCTCCTTTACTTTGTAACGATGAGGGTATTGTCTGAAATGAGATGCACCCCCATTTTTTAACAGGCAAGTTTGAAGGAGTTGATCGCAGATGGCGTGTGCATTATATTCAATCATTCATCGGCCACTATTACCCAGCCGAGATCAAGTATTTGTGCATATGGGGTGTTGTCAGATCCATTGCACTGCATGTGTACTCTGAGAATGTCTCTTTCAAGCAAAACTAAGATTTCTGCATCCATGTCTATTGGAGATATCTCAGTAACCAGGTGTCTTGACATGGGGAGAGATTGAGAGAGACTGAGATTCCATCACAGCTGCACCAGTTTTAGTAAATCCCCCTCATGTGTGAAGTATCCCTAACACTTCTGGTAGTTAAAGCAGATCTCCACCTTTCCCACCTCATTTTTTTTCCACCCCCTGCATACCTTGTAGTGGGTCCTGAACATTTCAGATGCTCACCTGCTCAGCTGATCAAGCTCTGCTTCGACCTGCACCACCATCTTCTTATACAGCATCATCAGGAGGCCTACTGGCTCTTCTGGGTTTAGCTGCCAGGCCTCATGATAGTGTGCAGTTAGGCATGCCCCTCTTCCTTTCTCAATGAAGAGTTATGACTCCTGGGATATGTGACATGCATTATCCCAGGATGCACTGTGTGCATAATGCACATCATTCGCTTTGGTGAGTGAAGTGCATGGGGGGCAGGGCAACACTTAAAGTGGATCTTCTGAGGGTGAAGAACCACTTTAAGTGTTGCATTTAAAATAAAGGCCTTAGAAGGACAACTGAGAACTAAAAAAGGGACTGTTCAATCTCCTTGGTCCAAACAGAGTATTTAAAGGTAATTAAAAGCTGGAATTAAACTTTAATGGAGCCCCAGTTAGCAGTAAAACCTGACACTGGTTCTAGCCCTTCCCCACTGTATCCAAAAGTAAGAAAAAAGTTTTGCCTAGACATAAATCTAAATCTATATCTATAAATCCGTTATTGCAAATATTGCAGAAAAAAATATATCAGGTACTCAACTGTGTTACAATGCATAGATAGGGCTTCAATCACTATATCAATGATGCCCGCAAACACTTTTTGTATTTGTGAATAAAGGAATTTTCAAAGAAACATAAATGTTCTACAACAGTGCATCTCTGTATAGATGCCTCTTTTGGTTTCCGTATTCAAAAGGTTGAATAACTAGTGGTTTTCCAGCTGCATAATTCATGTACTTTTATTCAGGAAACCTGAGAAGGAATCATTCCTCAATAGCATGATTGTATGAGCATGGGTGGGAGACCTCCCTCCTTGCAGATGTTGCTCTTTTGTCTCTAAGTCCTCTCAGTATTTCTATCAACAAACCCTCCTTTCTTGTTCTTAAATGTAATAATTTCTATTATTCTATTATTATAAATTGTTATTACAAAAATATATGGTATAATTATAAATTAAAAATTGTTTTCATATTGTCATAACAGAAATATTTACAAAATGTTAAGACATACATTTACATTGTATTTATGGGATAAGGAAACATTGAAAAAGGCATTTTTAAAGTTTCCTTACCTTCCCCAGACAGAGTGCACATGTAACCTACTGTTCTCAGCTGCATACTTACCAAGTCCTAGAATCAAGTCTCTCGGTATTCTCCAGCAATGTGTACATGTTGCTGGCCCATCCTCTTCTTACCACTGCATGTAGAACCCTATAGACTTCTGTTGCTAGTAAGCAGAAAAGGGTAGACTGAGGGGGGGGGGAAAAAGGTGAGGAAACCTTTAAAAATGATTTTTCTTAAAGTTGCCTTACACTTTTATATAGTTTTTGAAATATTAGGGGAAAATGATAACTTTTATTTTAAGATGAAAAACAATACATATAGCTTTTGTGGTCATTAGGCTTTATGAGAGCAAGTTCTCTAAAACACATCCTCTAACAATGCAAAACACAATAAATGGGCTGTCACAGGTGACAGTGCTGTGTCTAGCAGTGTTGTGGAGTTGAAAACACATGTATATTTTATTTTCATTTGGGAAAGGCCATTCATACCAAAATCAAACTTTAAAAGCAAAAAGAATATTTATCAAGTCATCGAATGTACTGAGAAGTTTTCTACAGATTTAAAATCTACTACCGTATGCAAAGTTTAGTTAAGGTAGAAGTCCAGTCAAATACTAACTATTCTTAAATCTGCTCCCACCCCATTCTAAGCCTATTCTAACTACCCTGCAAAGGAAAGATGTGTATACTTACCTATTCTCAGGGCACTCTGGTCCAGTCAAATGATCTCCCCAGTGGCCGGCTTCAGTGAAGAGATAGTTGACGACTGCAATGCCTATGTGGTGATATCACCCATAGACTTACTATGGGGCATCCGTTGACCTCCGTTCCTTCTCTACACTGAAGCTGGCACTGGGAGTCAATAATGTGAATGGACTGGAGTGCCCTCAGAATTGGCTAGTATAAGCATCTTTACAGGGTAGTTAGAATAGGTTTAAATGGGAGTGGGAGCAGGTTTATTTATAGTTAGTAGTTGACTGGACTTCTATTTTAAGCTCATAGCAGAGAATGATTAGCCAAAGTTTGCTTTAACAGTTCCGCAGAAGCAGTATTAGGTTCATGGCCATGTGTAATGCTTTTCTTCTTTTCTCTTAATGCAATTTGTTTAACCACCTCCCGCCCACCATATAGTCCAGTGACGGGCAAGGTGGTTCATATGACGTCCTCCCATTCTCACCACGCATGCACGGCTCAGGGAGCGCGCAGCACGGCGATCAGCGGTGCGCTGTGTTCCTTGGACACAGCGGATCACCGATCTACAAAAAGAGCAGAAGATATCAGCTCGGTCATGTGATCAGCTGTATCCAATCACAGCTGATCACATGTAAACAGGGAAAGCCAATTATCGGCATTTCTCTCCTCACGAGTTGTCATGCTGACAGCTCGAAAGGAGAGGAGAGCCGGTAATCAGCATTCCGCGGAGGGGACATCTACACTGATCATCAGGGCACTGATGATCAGTGTGCCCTGATAATCAGTGTGGCCCCAGAAGTGCCACTTGTCAGTGTCCATCAGTGCCAGCTGTCAGTGCTGAACAGTGCCACATGCTAGTGCCCATCAGTGCCACATCAATGCCACATATCAGTGCCTACCAGTGCACATTTCAATACCACATATCAGTGCCCATCTGAGCTGCCTTTCAGTGTCACCCATCAGTGCCAGTCAGTGCCACCTATCAATGCCAGTCAGTGCTACCTATCAGTGCTGCAATCAGTGCCGCCTAACAGTGCCAGTCATTGCCACCTAACAGTGCCAGTCAGTGCCACCTATCAGTGCCATATATAAGTGCTGCTTTTCAGTGCCCATCAGTGATGCCTGTCAATGCCCATCAGTGCCACCTACCAGTGCCTACTCAGTGCCCATCAGTGCCACATATCAGTGTCCATCAGTGCAGCCTATCAGTGCCCATCACTACAGCCTCATTAGCACACATCAGTGAAGGAGAAAAATCACTTATTTACAAAATTTTACAACAAAAACTAAGAAAAAAAGTTTTTTTTTTCAAATTTTTCAGCGTTTTTTTTTTTTTTTTAAATTAAAAACCAAGAGGTGATTAAATACTACCAAAAGAAAGATCTATCTGTCACAAAAAAAATGATAAAAATTTCATATGGGTACAGTGTTGCATGACCGCGCAATTGTCATTCAAAGTGTAAGAGCGCTGAGAGCTGGAAATTGGCCTGGGCAGGAAGGGGGTATAAGTGCCCTGTAGGCAAGCGGTTATTCACAAGCCAAGGTTCTAGTTCTAGAAAGAAAGTTTAATAACTCATGATTACTCTACCTTGCAGTATAGTTGTTGGCAGACGCAGTTAGCTTGTCTGCCACTGGCTCTGTTGTAATTAGATGTCAGCTCCCCTTTTAGAAAACAAATAAATATAAGGAATGCGCTAAATAAATATATAAAATAATGAAAAAAAATAATAAAGAAATGTGAAAAAATATAAAAAGTGTTCATAAATAATTAAATGTTCAAAAATCTTCAAATAATGTCCACACTGTGCTGAATCCACCACCAAAGAAATTGAATCACTCACCAGAGCTCAATGCTGAACAGCAATTGGACCAGCAAAAAGCACTTTTGCTCTGGGAGCAATATATATCAATCCAGTTCCTAGATGCAATGCTGTGCAAACAAATGAAATCCCATCGGATGAATAGCCACCATTCAAGGATATAGATAATTTCCAGGAGTATGAATCGCCTTTCTTTCATATACCTCCATACCATTGGAACCACGTTCAAAGGTAAAAGAAAAAGATCAAGGTGCAGCAAGTTTCAAAAATGTAACAAACTTTTAATGTATGAATAAAACTCACAAGTGAGGTGTCTACACCGACACCAGTATCAAAAGCATAGACTCAGGCAACGGTACACGAACGCAACCCCGTTCACCACGGATCCCCTACTCTCAGATCCAGAGACTGTCTCAGACGTCGGCATCCAGTAGGCCACACCCTACGCATTTTGTCACCAATGATGTCCTCACGGGGCGGTCTGGATGCAGAGGTCAACTCAGTGTGATTTATACCGCTCGCGCTCTGCATCGCGGCACGGCTATGCCAATCACATAACATGAAAGGTGGTAGGTATAACAAATGTAATACAAGATGGAAACAAAGGCCCTGATTTACTATTGGGCGTGGGCGCATATTCGTGGGCGAACATCCAATTGGTAAAGGGGGCTTCCAGATTCTGATAAGCCCCCCGCCCGCAGACCCCCACAACTACCGGCCAGGGTTGTGGGGAAGAGGCCCTTGTCCCCATCGACATGGGGACAAGGTGCTTTGGGGGGGGGGCCCTTGCCCCAAAGCCCCCCCCCATGTTGAAGGCATGTGGCCTGGTATGGTTCAGGAGGGGGGGGGGGGCGCTCGCTCGTCCCCCCCTTTTCCTGACCTGCCGGGCTGCATGCTCGGATAAGGGTCTGGTATGGATATTGAGGGGGTCCCCACGCTGTTTTTTTTTTTTAATTTCGGCGTGTAGTTCCCCCTTAATATCCATACCAGACCTGAAGGGCTTGGTATGGATGGGAGGGGGGACCCGCGCTGTTTTTTTTTTATTATTTATTTAATTCACAGAAATAATTTAAAATTCAGCTGTCAGTGGGACACATTCCTTCTGTCCCTGCAGAGAGCTCCGCTATTATATTTGACATTAAAAAGTATAGAAAGTATATTGTCCTCCTTTGTAATGTACAGCGCTGAGTGAACTATCGGCGCTTTATAAATACTGTAATAATAATAATAAAAAATAATAGAGACTGCAACATTGTATCTATTTGTATCCATTTCGGATATAGATGTTTTTATTCGGATACATATAGATACAATGTTGCAACTTTATACTTTTTAATGTCAAATATAATAGCGCAGCTCTCTGCAGGGACAGAAGTAATTACTTCGCTATTATATTTGCCAGCCATAGACGGGGCGAAAATCGGACAATTTTTTTTTACCATTGGTGGTAATGTTGGCCCATTGAACAACCGATTTTTCGTTTTTTTTTTTTTTTTTAAACGGTCAGTTTTCGCCCCATCTATGGCCTGCATTTTTTTTTCTTCTTTTTCTTATTTTTTTTTTATTCTTCTTTTTCATTTTCTTCTTCTTTTTCTTGCAGGTCATGGCTCATGTGCAGTTTTTTTATCTGTTAAAAGATCCGCCAATTTGCCGATCATTGCAGCTAAAATCAGCCGATCTGCAAAATCGGCCGATTTTTATCCAAATTTAACAAATTAAAAAAAGTGGCAAAATCCCCAAAAATGGCTGACCAATTAACCTACTAGCGGCCCGAAAATCAGCCGATTTTTTTTTCCAGACGATTTTAGACCCATCTAAAGCAGGCCATGGGTCTAAAATCGGCCGATTTTTTTCTCCCGAAAAAAAAAATCGAATGATTTTCGGGCCGTTAGTGGGTTAATTGGTCAGCCGTTTTTCGGGATTTTGGCACTTTTTTTTTTATCAGTAAATTTGGAAAAAAAAATTTCCAACTTTACTGATAAACAAAATATGCTAAAATCCCAAAAAATGGCCGACCAATTATCCCACTAACGGAAGAGGCCCTTGTCCCCATTAACATGGGGACAAGGTGCTTTGGGGGGGAGCCCCCCTGCCCCAAAAGCACCTCCCCATGTTGAGGGCATGTGGCCTGGTATGGTTCAGGAGGGGGGGGCGCTCGCTCGCTCATCCCCCCCCCCTTTCCTGATCTGCCGGGCTGCATGCTCGGATAAGGGTCTGGTATGGATTTTGGGGGGATCCCCAAGCTGTTTTTTTATTTAATTTCGGCGTGGATTTACCCCTTAATATCCATACCAGACCCGAAGGGCTTGGTGTGGATGGGAGGGGAGACCCCATGCCGTTTCTTATTTATTATGGTGCTGGTTTTTAAATGTAGTTCTCCCTTTTTTTTTTTCTTCACTATAGCTCAAGAAATTCACCTGTCACTTCCCCCAGCTAAAAGAGAAAGTTTTCTTGCAATTTATATCCCTAAAGGAAACAATGTTTACTTTGAGTTTATTTAAAGATACAAAGTTTTCTGTAACTTCGGGGAAAGTGACTTCTAAGCTTGTGAACTATAGTGAAGAAAGAAAGGCTGGCATTTGCATTTGAAAATCAGCGCCGACATACACTTTGTATTGCGAAAAAAAATTAACAATTGTGTAAACCGAGGCATTATTTTCAATGGATTTTCATTCAAACCAAAAATTACGTTAACCGAGGCGTTGGTAAACCGAGGTACGCCTGTATTAGTATTGCAATACTTTGTATTGGGATACATAGAACCAACATACATCTGAATTGGCAACATAGCACAACATTTGTGTCGCATTTGAGATATCTGGCTAGTTACACTGACCTTGCCCAGGGACCTAGGATTGATTCACACCACAGAAATACAGGCAGGCTTACTGTTCAACAGCTCCGTGGATCAGTGGTTAGCACTACTGTCTCACAATGCTAGGGTTGTTGGTTTGAATCCCAACCACAGCAATGAATTTGCATGATCTCTGTGTGACTACCCTAACATACATGTGCTGGTGGCAGTATCTTTGCTTTCTGTTTAAATGATCCCTAGAATGTGAATTAGAATGAGGCCTTGTCTGTTCAAACACCTTTAAAGTAGCATCTTATGTGAATGTCAAACCAGGGGATGAGATAAAGGCCTGGACTAATAATTGATTGGATAATGCTGGTTTGCACTCCACATCCTTTAGGAAAGTATGTTAAACCATGAGAAGAGTGAGTGAAAGAGATGATTAAAAAAAAATAATGGCATGGAGTCCCGTCCCCCCCCAAATCCATAACAGACCCTTATCTGAGCATGCAGATACCGCATGCCTTCTAGGATTTATTTCCTTTGTTGAATTGCCTGCTTGGTTCACACTAGATGTGATTTAAAATTGTTCTTTTTGTTGGCAATTTCACCTTGTTTTCTGTAGATTTACCAATGAGCTATTGCGTTTTCAATTGTGTTTTGCATTGCGATTTCTATTGTAGTCTATATGTGAAATCACTACAAAATGCTGAAAAAGTTAGACGAGAACTACTTTTGAAATTGTGCTGCAGCAAATCGCTTACATTAAGACACTCACATCCACATTCATTAAATCGGATATCAGGTACAATTTAAATTCCCAAATTGCACCTGAAATTGTGCACCCTGGATGCGACTTGGCATGCGATTTGCATGGCATGCGACTTGCAAATTGAATGCCAAGTCGCACCCTATTGTCTACTATTACAGCAGTCACATGGGTGCATTTCCGACACTGATTTCTAAAGTAGTACATGTACTACTTTTGTGACGATTTGCATAGATATCTGTGTCAGATGTCTTGCAAATCGCAAGGAAATCAGCATCTTCACTGTACGTCGCACAATTTTTAAATCGGCTTTGATGTGACCGCGGTGTAAGGCTTTTTTATGTTTGATTTCCTGAGTGTTTTTCCGATTTATGGGAAATGCCGCATACTAGCAAAAGTGAATTGACATTTTCAGTATTGCATGTGAGATGTGGTCATGTGACTGCCTTAACTCATGCGATAATCTGGAGTGAATTGTGCCCATAGGGCCAAGCAATATTGCCAATAGGGTTCCCTTTCACATTCCTGTTCAATGTTCTGTTGTATGCTGTACAAGGACACTTCACTTTGGCTTTCTTTCTGACTCTGATTTGTGGGGCCTGTATACCAAGGGTTAAAGCAGGTGGGAAGAGGATTCAGGTGCAAACACTTTCTCTGACCAAATGAATGACTGTGGTGGGTGTGTCCTACCTTATATAAGGAGATGCAGTTGGGGCTGATTTTGCCTTGTATAGGCACATTATTTCTGCATGTCCTTGTGTGTGGTGGTTTGGGGGAGGAAG